AGTTTTATAGGCACTACTTTTCATTTGTTGTATGCAATAAAGAATTTATTACATACAATTGTGAAATATAAGTTGTCTCATAATAAATTTGTTTTTAAATGCTTTTTACTGATCATTTCTATGGCATCCATGTAAACTTGTATCTGTAAAATTTAAACATGTAGCAGGCCTCTATACATGTGCAATATTGAGTATTCATGATTTTAGCCTGTTTAGGAGACAGGGAGTTATGGTATAGGCATGCTACTTGGTAGAAGCTTAGTTCTAGGTAAGTTCTAGTAACTTAGTTCTAGTAACTTGCTGTACTTCTCACAGTGAACGGAGATGTGGCCATTTTGTCAAATTATCTTGGGAGGCCACCAAGGCTTTTATGGGAAAATCTGGATTGACACACTCCTCTAGGGAACAGGTGTGATTACTGCAAATTTATTCTACTGTGATTTCCTGGATCCCTCATATGGCTCCCCATGAGCCCAAACCTATCCTGATGACTGTGTCTTAATAGCCTCCCCAGTTCCCCCACCAAAGAGGGGCAAATTACCTTCCTTCTATGAGCCAAATAAGAAGGACAGAAATGATTTAAAAAGCAAATGAGATTTTGCCACAGGATTAAACCAAAAATATCCATAAAGCCCCTGCCATTTCTGAAAAGTAAATGGACAAATAAGGAGGTGAGTGGGCCCTGAAGGAAACGTGGAGCTCTTCCTTTAGAGCAGAAAACATAAAGCCCACCCCTCACCCTTCCCTGTCCCTCACTTGAGGGACCTGAATAGAGTGGTGACCAGCTGTGGGCTTGACTCACTGGGTGTTCAACTAATAAGAAGGGTTTGATCCAGAAAAAGATTCTCAAGGAGAACTGTTTGGAAATAAGTTTGATTGTTGACTGTAAGATTATTTTAAAATTAAGCTAAAAAACCACCAGTGGTATTTTATTTCTTATAGAATATTTTAGGGATTTTAGAAACTTATTATTATTGAAGATTCTCTTTAGCTCCAACTTCTTAGAACATGTTGCTTCTCAGAAAAAGATGGTCTCTGCTGTAGAACAGAGGTAAAAAAAAAAAAAAAAAAAAATCTGTGTGGTGAATTGCTTCCAGTTCTTGGAATAGTGGCTGTTAACCCCAGCAGAGACCACGTGAGCCCAGGCCAGAGTCTGAGGCAGCTGGCCATGGTGAAGGGTGAAGGGTGAAGGGTGGTTTTCTAGCCACGCAGGTCTCCTCTCTGATCTGGGCATCCATCACCAGAGGCAGCCAGTGATGATTTCCACAATTTTATGACCCCTGGCTGTTGTCCCAATAACAAATAAGTCAGAAGCCACCCTCTTCCCTTCTGTAAAATTCCACTTCTTCACCCTGGCCTTTCTACCAAGAACTTTATAAAACAGTGGAAACAGGGCCTCGTGCCTCACTGCTTTTATGTATGATTAGCATATTTCTGATTGTGCCTCCTCTGATACCCCTTCCCCAATAAGAATCAGGGAGTACGCGGCAGGATAGAGACAGAAAGAAGGAAATGCTGGCTTTGCTTGGCCTTTTCCATGGACAAGTGACTGAAATCCCAGAAATTGTCATTGCTATATTGTATGCAGCATCTAGAACAGTGTGGATATCTAGTTGACATGATAAATAGACCGGAACCATTTTCTGTGATGTAGAATGGGGAGCTTGACTTGATCAGAAGAGTCGTGGGAAGAAGCAGGTCAAGTACGAATGGTAGGTGAGCCAGAACTGCTGGGCATAATGATGTGTGCAGATGCGTAGACACAGCACCCAGGTGAGGGTGGAGTTCAGAATTCAAACCAGAGGGAATGCTTCCTCTCATCCGTAGGGTCAGGGTAAAGGTGAGGCTCAGAACTGCCCTGAGGACGTCAGAGCACATCTATCAAAAGTGGACTCAGAACAGTCTCCTGCCAATTCTGGGACTGGAACTACCTAATTAATCTCTGTCTTATATTTTAAAAGTCTTGGTTTGGGTAGGAAAGTATTGGTAGATTTTTCTCTAATTTTCAGAGCCAGGCCAGGTTTCATAGATGGGTGTGACCAGTGATTACTCTATGTCTAGAGAACTAAGTGCTCCTGGATGTCTGGCCATTTGGAGAGCTCTACTCCAGCCACCTAGTGCCCACCACATACAATATGCTTGGTTTAACACTGGGGGAAACACAAAGAAGTGTGAAGTATAAACTATAGCTCTCACCCCCCCAAATGTAGTCTGGTTATGGAAATAAGACCTAAATATGTAAATAAGCAGCACAAAAGGAAGTGATTTTATAAGGCAGAAACACGATTCGTGGTCAAATGGATGGTACATATGTTAAGTGCTATAAGAACAGAGAGTGGTAGTGACCACCATGGGTTGGGGTGTTCTGGAAATAGGAGGGATCTAACTGGCTGGTCTTTGGCTAAGCTGAGAGAAGCAGTGAATGTATGCAAGTATGTGAAGATAGGGAGAACAGGAGGCATTCTAGAAAGAGCGAGCAGACCAGCCTCAATAGTGTTGAGCATTCAGGAAGGTTCAAGTTGACACTGAAGCCAGTGAGATAGTTGGAATCAAAATATAAAAGTGTTGGTCCTCATCTTTATCCCCTGGACAGCAAGGAGTCATTGAAAGTCATTTGGATAGAGGAGTAGAAGAGTGACATGCTCAGAGATTTTGTTGTTGTTGTTGTTGTTCAGAGATACTTTAGGAAGATAAATCTTAGAGTCAATCTTTTTATTTATTTATTTATTTTAATTCTTACGGTCAATCTTATGGGGAGAAAGAGTGCTCAGGTAGATCAGATGTCTGTATTTGCTTCGGTGCTACCAAAAGCAATAAATACTTCCATTTTGGAAATGGCAGCAAGAACAGAAGTAAAGACTTAGGTGCAAGAGACATTTTGAAGGAAGGGGAAATTAAGACTTGGCACCTTCTTGTCTGTGGAAGTAAAGACAAATCATCAAAGGTAATTGCACAGTTTGGAAATTAAGTGACCAGAAGAATATTTTATGAACAGAAATAGAGATATTAGGATGAAGGATGAGATGGGTAGGTGTTTAGGAAAAGTTCAGCTTTGGAAGATCATATTTCATGTTGTAGCAGGAATAGATATGACTGGAATATAGGAGGGGGTGTCAGCCTGTGATAAACATGTGGGCGCTGTCTGCATCGAAATGACAGTTTAAAATGTTTGAATGGATGATATCTTCCAGAGAGAGTCAAAATGTTGGACATTCCAGCATTTTAAAGGAGGAAGAGGAAGAGGAGCCGCTCACTATACAATATGCAATTAGATATTAGGAGGAGAAGGTTACAGATTCACATAAGTCCAGATAAGAGCATCAAGAAGGAAGTTGTGGTCAGCAGCATCAGATGTTGCAGAGAAGTTAAGGAGCATAGGGGCTGAAAAAGAGTCATTGGTTGGGCAATTAGGAAGTCATTTACCTTTAAGAACACAGGCCTGTCCTGCACACATGTGCTGGAGGAGATGGAATAAGAGGCAAGCATCTGAGAGAAGGGAGCATGCACCACTGATGTACAGGTAAGAAGGAGAGGTGAGGGGCCAGCATTCAGCATTAGTCTCTCCCCTTCCAAGCTGGCAGTTTGTGTGTCCACACACGGGAAGGAGAGAAGGAAAAGATTAAGCTATTGATTCATTTAGCCAACCTTTGTTCAGTGCCTGCTAAGGACTTGGGACCAATTAACAGCAAAAATTGAAAACTGCTGAGAAAGAACAGGGGAGGAAGCAGAGTTCAAGTGAAAGTGAGAGAATATGGATTGTGAGACTAGGGGGCATTTTTAGTGTCGGAAAGGAGAAACATCTCTTCCCGAGGGACTGGAGACAAGGAAAGGATGGAGGATGGATGTAGACTGAGGAATGTTCTGAAGTCAAGAGAATCAAGGAGGAAGTGAGGCTGACCTCAGGCCTCTGGGCAAAGTGGAAGGTGGGTCCTCTACTGAGAAATCGCAGACCAGTGGGGCAGGAGGCGGGGCAGAAAGGAAGATATGGAACAGCCCCTCGAGGTAATGCTAGGGGCAAGGACCAGCTACAATTGTGCAGGACAGAATGCCCGCTCTTCTGTGCTTCTGTAGGAGGTGTTGATGGTGTTTATGGACAACCCCTTAGAAGATGGGCAGTATTTGTTTCTACTTTTACCTTTAAGAACTTATCCTTCTTCACCACTATATTATTTTTCTTTAATACATTTCCTATGAATTCTTATTTTTTTCTGATATCACCATAATTGAAAGTTGTACAGCTATTCCGGAATAATGGTCTTAAAAGATTTCTGAGGTTATCCAGATTGTAGATATATTAGTTTGAAATTATAGTACTTTGTAAATAAATTTATTGATATATGAATTTAGCAGGAAAAATAAGTGAATAGAACCCATGAATCGTGCTACCATCTGCCCCACAAAAGACTGACAGGACATCTTATTCTGCCCAAATGAAGATTCCCAACCAACTGTCAATCCATGCAGTACCGCAAAATTCATTTAAGTTGACCAAGATGCCAGGTGGTTACTATGTCTCATCCAGAAGAGCCACAATGGGGCCTGGGTGGGGACATGTTTCCTCAAAGCAGTGAATCTGACTGTTAGGGTCTGTGGACAGGATGAGCAGGGGCCAGGTGCAGGATGGTTACCTGGGTCACTTGATGTAGTCTTCAGCTTTACTAGTATGCAACGTGGTGAGTGGAGAAAGAGGTAAGTAAGTGTCTGTCACAAATAATATTTGTAAGAAATAAATGGTGAACTGATATCCTAATTCTGTATCTGCATCTTGACTGTGGGTCAAGATGTGTCTCCTAGTAGTGGCAGCTGGAACACTGGACCCACTTGATCCCTCAAACTGGGTCCCAGGTGTGCTTCCAGGTGGCCTAGATTCACGTTTCCAAGCTGGTTTGGAAGTGGGACGACAATATCCTGTGTGACTCAAGCCAGAACCCAGATGACTCTATTGAGTTCACTCATGCAAGGGAGACTCAAATATTTGCTTTCCCTTTCCTTCTTATAGGTATGGCCTCACATGTGCAAGTTTTCTCCCCTCACACCCTTCAATCAAGTGCCTTCTGTAGTGTGAAGAAACTGAAAGTGGAGCCGAGTTCCACCTGGGACATGACTGGGTACGGCTCCCACAGCAAAGTGTATAACCAGAGCAAGAACATCCCGCCTTCTCAGCCAGCCACCACGACCGTCAGCACCTCCTTGCCGATCCCAAACCCAAGCCTACCTTACGAGCAGACCATCATCTTCCCAGGAAGCACCGGGCACATAGTCGTAACATCAGCAAGTAGCACTTCTGTCACGGGGCAAGTCCTCGGCGGACCACACAACCTAATGCGTCGAAGCACTGTGAGCCTTCTTGACACCTACCAAAAATGTGGACTCAAGCGCAAGAGTGAGGAGATTGAGAACACAAGCAGCGTGCAGATCATCGAAGAGCATCCACCCATGATTCAGAATAATGCCAGCGGGGCCACTGTAGCCACTGCCACCACGTCCACTGCCACCTCCAAAAACAGTGGCTCCAACAGTGAAGGAGATTATCAGCTGGTGCAGCATGAAGTGCTGTGCTCCATGACCAACACCTACGAGGTCTTAGAGTTCCTGGGCCGAGGGACGTTTGGGCAAGTGGTCAAATGCTGGAAACGGGGCACCAATGAAATTGTGGCCATCAAGATTCTGAAGAACCACCCGTCCTATGCCCGACAGGGTCAGATCGAAGTGAGCATCCTGGCCCGGCTGAGCACAGAGAGCGCCGACGACTACAACTTTGTGCGGGCCTACGAGTGCTTCCAGCACAAGAACCACACGTGCTTGGTCTTTGAGATGTTGGAGCAGAACCTCTATGACTTTCTGAAGCAGAACAAGTTTAGCCCCTTGCCCCTCAAGTACATTCGCCCGGTCCTCCAGCAGGTGGCCACAGCCCTGATGAAACTCAAAAGCCTAGGTCTTATCCATGCTGACCTCAAGCCAGAGAACATCATGCTGGTGGATCCATCCCGGCAGCCATACAGAGTCAAGGTCATCGACTTCGGTTCAGCCAGTCACGTGTCCAAGGCTGTGTGCTCCACCTACCTGCAGTCCCGATACTACAGGTAAGACCGTCAGTACCGAAACGGGTGCAGAAAGCCCAGTGGCATTCAGAGTATGCAGTGGCAGTCACTGTGGGGGAGACAAAAGTATCTTCCAGCAGTTGCTGCCCTCAAGTGACCTTAATGTGGTTGGGAAATTAGGACATGTGCACACTGAAATGAGAATGAGAAGCCGTCTAAGCCAAGTAGGCCAGGGAGCCAAGGAAGATGCTTGGTCCCGATGTTCAGAGTTGAAAAGGACCCCAGGGAGTGAGTAAAGAGCAGAGCAGAGGAGTTGTCCTCATGGATGGGGAGGGCTCAGGAAGCTGGAGGACAGAGCAGGACATGCCATTCAAAGGCACACTGGTAGTGGTGTGCCAGACTCATGCAGGGGGCAAGCAGCTTGGCCAGATCAGAGGATTTTTGAGTATTGAGAGATGGTGATTGGACAGGTTGGGACCAGGTCTTGAGAGGTCTCAAATGCCAAACTAAGGAATTGTAGCTGTATCTCTAAACCTTGAACAAGCCTTGGAAACTCTGAACATAAGGGGTAACAGGTTGAAAGTGATGTTTCACATAGAAAGGTGGCTGGAGGGAGGGGAGAGTGTAGTCGAGGGACTGGTCGGCTCCTCCTGTAGCAAGGTAACCTCAGGCACTACCTCCAGATGCTGGAAGCTTTATAGTACCCTTTTTATTATTATAACAAAAAATCTGAGGCTGGCTAATATTGTTTAAAAAAATAGGTTTATTTAGCTTATAGTTATAAAGGTGCAAGGGCATAGTGCTGGCATCAGCGTGACTCTGGTTAAGGCACTGTGGCAAATGCATCACGATGGCGGGAGTCATGTGGGAGAGAGACCGCGTGACCATACTGAAAGCTGGAGAGAGGTTCAGGGTCAGAGTCAGGATTTTACAACAACTTGTTCTCAAGAGAACTACCCCAGGGGTCCCTAACCTTAATTCCTTCCAAGGAAAACACCAGCAGCGATCTTCCACTAGGCCCTACCTCCTACAGGTCCACCGCTTCCCGTCATTGCCACACAGAGGACCAAGTTTCCAGCACACAAATCCTGGGGAGATGAACCATTCATAGCCCAACAGGAACACACACATTCAGACATCCAAGCACAGATTTCACTTCTAGCATGGGCCAGGCACAGTGCTGTACAGGATGTGGACGAGGCCCCCGCCATTCCCGAATGTCCAGCATGCTGCTTCCCTGTCTTGGCTGCACATTAGTCACCTGAGGAGCTTTTAAAGACAACCCAGCTTGGCCTCAGTCCCCACCAACTGAATCCACACCTCTGGGGTGGGGGCCCGGCATGAGGGCTTTTCCCCAGCTTTTCTGGACCCCAGTGTGCATCAGTGCTGAGAACAGGACGGCACCTGGTGGAACAGACATAGAGCGCTGCTTGCTTTGGAGTAGGGAAACCCAGGGCTGAACCTGACCCGTCAGCTCACTGGGCACTGTGACTTTGACAGCTGCTTACTTTCTGTGCACCTTCATTTTCTGACCCATAAACAGGGGTCCTATCACCACCTCCATGGGCTTCTAGGTGCCATTGCATAGTGTAACAGCCTGGTGCTGCAGGTGATGGCCAGTCTATGGGAGGTGACCAGTGAAGAGTTGGTGGAGGTTTCTGGAAAGCAAGGGTCTGGTTTGTGGAGCAGTGAGGAGCTGCGCTTGAAATAACATTGAATATAAGTTGGGCGTGGTGGAGCACACCTGTAATCCCAGCAATGAAGAGGCTGAGGCAGGAGGATCACAAGTTCAAAGCCAGCCTCAAGGTCCTAAGCAACTCAGTGAGACCCTGTCTCAAAATAAAAAATAAAAACGCTGGGGATGTGGTTCTGTGGTTAAGCACCCCTGGCTTCAATCAAGAAAGAAAGAAAAAAAAGAAAAGAAATAACATTGAACAGTCCCAGAGATGGGAGTTGGAGAGGAGGTAGGGCTGAGCCACACCTAAGAGGCTGACGTGTGGGCTCTAACATCAGAGTCCCAGGGCTCATGGCTGCCTGAGGCCTTCCGCTCTTACCCAGCAGTGGGTGTGCTTTCTCCATACCTCCTTCAAGGCCCCAGAGGGAAGGTGGGGCTGTGTGACACAGCTGACCTACGACCCAGTTCTGGGGCTGGCCACCCGCTGCCCCTCCGTGTGGTCTCCCTGGTTCACTGACCGGCTTCTTCCTCTGGGCCCAGCCTGGCTGCCCACAGCACGACGGCAAGCCTCCTCGCCCTGCTCCCTGTGCCCACCCCGCCCCTCAGCCTGCTGCCTCTCCCTCCTCCTGTCTCCTCTCATTCTGATCCTGACTCAAGAAAGGTTGGGGTCTCGAGGCTTCTCCGCCTGGCTGTTCCAAATCACCTGCCCCCACCCCCCACCACCGCTGCTCCCTTAGGAGGGATTCCCCAAGTCACGGCTGCTCTCATCTGGCCCCCTCAGTCCATCCTTCTCCAGCCATTGCTTTCTCATGAATTTACACATGAAGCTCCCCCATGTCAGGAGACGCCTCCATGGGCCTCTGCATGCTCACGAGGGACAGTCTCCTGCCAGCTCCATCTCCCTGCACTCTGCTCCCAGTGCCAACTGGGTGCGGAGGGAAAAGTGCACCCAGTGCTGGAGCCACCCTGGAAGGTGGGGCCTGGGGAGCAGGCAGAACCACGGGCCCCTCCTTGTGGCTGCAGGAGGGGCGACAGAGAAGAAGGGGGTGGTCTGGCTATGCTGGAGGGTCAGGTACCAGGCACAGATGGCACGTATTCTCTCTGGAGAGTGCCCGCCCAGCTCTTAATTGAAAGCCAGCTCTGTGTGGTCCTGGGTCACCAGCCTGCCCGAGGGGTGACTGGTGCTGGGGCTAGCTCTCCTTGCAACAAACAGGAGGCTGCCGTTGTCACTTTATATTTAGGCTTGCAAATTCAGCACATCGAGGGCTATTTCTTCCCAGGTCTTGGCCTGAATTTAGGGTGAACTGTAGCCAAGTCAGGGGCCGCTTGGGGTTTTATTATTTAGTTAACCTGTGTTGCTATTAGTGGACAGAAACCGGCTTCACTAAAGTTGGCTAAAAATTGAGCATGCAACTTATAAAAGACTTTTGGAACTATATTTAACAGGCAGTGCATCCTTGGAGCAAAACTTGATGAATCAAGGCAGCTGGATTTGGGGCTCTTAAGACTTTTCCTACTCACTTCCTTATCTCCCCCCCATGCCCCCCAACACACACACACTTGTGATTCACCTTGAAGGCCCATTTGTGATTAACTGTTTTACTCTGCTCTCAGGAAGTCCGGGGGTGGCAGTACAAAGTTGCCGTGAGAACTGTGGGGAGGTCTGAATCCTCTTCCAGGACCTCTGATGTCCCCTCACCAGCCTCTGGCTGAATGGGCCTCTTCACAGCGTCCCTGGTGGGGAGTGAAGGCTGGTTTGCTGGCAGGGCTGGGCCACTTGTCCCTCCAGGATGGGCACAGTCCCGCCAGCCTCTGCACCATTGCCCTCCCTTTGAGTGACATAGCACACCCCTCGTTAGCTTTAATCTGGGCAGGACAGCCTCTTCCTTCACATGGTCATCGTGGCCTTGAGGTCCTCCCTGTGGGTCAAGGGCATAGTCAAGGTGAAAGGCAGCCCATCTTTTCTGCCTGAAATGGTGTTTCATTTCCAAATTGGTCACAATGCTCCGTTTCTCCCCCCAGGGTTCGCCTGAGCCCTGGAGTAGTTTGCTGCCACATGGATCGATAGGAGCTTTTGAGGACAGTCTTTAGCTCTTTGTCCCTGCTTGTCCTGGCTATGTGGGACAGCCAACTCTAGGCCACATCTGTCAGGGTGGTCTTCCTGATTGCTTTGCCCCTTACTGGGGGAGAATGAGCAAGAAACACTCTTGCTGAAGCCCCGCCTAAGAAGGAAGAAGCTCTCAGGCTCATCCTGAGAGAACACCTGCACATCTGAGCTACCCAGGACAGGAGCGTCGTCCCATGCCACTGTGGTCTCCTGGCAGGGCTTGTCAGATTGACCTTTGTCCTGCAAGGCCCCATTCCCCTAGTTGTCCCCTGTATCTGAGCTTGGGGATGTTTCACTTTTAAAGAGATGAACATTTACCTGCCACTTTGCCACTTCAAATGGGACTGTATTAAGTGTCTCATCACGCCATCCCTACCTGCTAACACAGACACGTCTGAGGCAGAGGTGCCCGTCCTCAGTCTGGGACTGGGGAAAGGAGGTAGTGGCCTGAGAGCCACCTGTTTCCCCAGCTGCTAGGTCCTTGCTGTTGCCTCCTGAGGCCAGCCTGACCTCCTGCTCTTCAGGAAACAAGGATGCTTTTTCAGGTTTTTCACCTGAGGCAGGGTTATCCCCTCCCAACTTTCACCTTGAAGGCCCATTTGTGATTAACTGTCAACTGTGCTGGTTCTCAAGCTTTATTGTCACCTGGAGAGCTTGGTAAGAACATATGTCTGCCAGAAGCCTGTCCCAGAGCTAGCTACTGCACCCTCCTCCAGGGTAGATCCCTGCCCCCCACAAAGTTTCCAGACTCCACTCCAGAGAATGGCCTCTAGGAACTGGAGAGGAGCCGCTGCAGGGGCCTTTGGACCCTGAGAAGAGCTGCTCCAGGAGAGAAGGGATTTCCTGGGGTGGGGGGGGGGGGGGGGTCACCTTTCAGGGTTAGCACCCAAAGGAATGCAGGGCAGGTGATGCTGTTGACCTACTCACCTGGGCGTCCCTGCCACTTCCCTATTTAACCCTCCACCCTTGCCAGCCTGTTAATCTGTGTTTTTTTGTTGTTATTTTCATTTTGGGCAAGCAATAAGTTGGTGCTAGGACATTTCCACTCTCTGGGTGACTAGTAAGCTAAAACAAGACCAAATGTTAGATTCAGAAGGAAAAAAATCACAAAAAACTATGCCGTTGAGGCAAAGGATAATCAGTGATTAAAATGTTAGAGTTTTGTTTCTGTTCTGGGCTATTCAGAATATTTTTGAGACACTGAAAATTATTATTGGTTCCCAAAAAAATGGGCATAAAAATTAGGACATAAAAAATGGC